AATAAAATATAATTATAGAAAAAAAAAAGAAATCTGGAGAACGACCACTTGGCCAACTGACTGGAAGAGATCGATATTTGTTCCTATGAGACAGCCAGAGCTTATGCAAAGGTGAACCTGTTAGAGAAGGAAAATTCAGAAATTCTCACCTAATAGAGAAAAATGTAAAAATGCTAAGAGTACACCAGTAGCAAAAACAGAAAATTTGGGAGACTCTGAAAGACAAGACCTTCCCAAGTGAGTGCTGGCTCTCTGTCCACTCCATCAGGACAGGAACTGTGGTTAGGCTCTCAGCTTCTAACTGAAAGGTTGAGGGTTCAAATCAATGCAGAAAGCTATGGTGATCTGCTTCTGGAAACATAACAGCCTTGAAAACCCCAGGGCTACTCCTTTAGTTGGTATGGAAACCCCAGTACTACCCTGTGAGTTGCTATGTAAACGCTAGTACTGCTTCCTGAGTTGCTATGGAAACCCCAGGACTACCCCATGAGCTGCAGAGACAATTTACTCATTGCCGGGGACTGTGGGGTTTTTGTCTTTGGTTTTTTGGTTTTATTTTGGTTGTTGGGTTTTTTTTATGAGAAGAATTAGTCTTTTGTGTCTCCTTCCTCTGCTGTAAAGTTTTGTCTTTATCCCTCACTGTTGAATAATTCCTTATTGTCAATAAGCATTTTCAACCCCTTTCCACATTGAAAACTGATAAAGCAAGCCTCCCTCAACTTTGTAGCTTCTAATGACCAAGGCATTGGTTTCTTGCCTTCCTTTTGCATTTCTTGAGTTCTGTGCACCTGTCTCTTCACTTCCTTGCCTTTGGTCCTCTGTAATGAAGCTTCTTTGTCCAGCTTGCCAGTGAAATAGCTTTGGCAAGATTCTAATGATGTTATTTTTCAGAAATAAGTAGGCATTTCTGCCTTTTCTTTCCTATAGTGCTGTACCAATTAACACACCCCATCCCAATAATCACGTCAGCCTCTATAATACCACTCTATTCTGTTCTTTCTTTTCTTCTTTGCTTGATTTCATCACTTGACTTTACTGGATCCTTCTCTGCCTCTTAAATAGAAATATCTCATAGATCTCTATGCTGAGCTATTTCTTGCCTCACTCTGAACGCACCCAGGTGACAGCATCTTTGCCTCAATTTTCACTCCTGTTTTCACATTGTTCTTATGTGCTGTTGAGTTGACGATGACTCTTAGCAACTTTATGCACAATAGCTCTGAACCCTGCTCTATCCTGAGCCTATCTTGTTGTCTCTGACAGACTTGCCCTCATTGCCCCAGTTATTGTGTCAGTCCATCTCATCCAGGGTCTTTCTCTCCTGCACAGTCCCTCCACCCTTCCAAGCATGATATCCTTCTCCCAAGAATGACCCTTCTGGGCTACATGCCCAAAGTATATGAGATGGACTTTCAAAATCCTTGCCACCAAGGAGCAGCTTGGTTTCAGCCTCTCCAGGACAGACCAGTTAGTTCTCTTGGTGGTCCATTGTATGTTCAGTACTCTACTTTAGAACCACAATTCAAAGGCATCAATTTTTCTTCTGTCATTCTTGGTCATTATCCAGCTCTCTGATGCATAGCAAGTAATTGAGAGGATCGTGGCCTAAATCAGGCACACCTTAGTCTCTAGATTGATATTATTGCTCTTCTGGAGAGTTCCCTGACAGCATATTCCCTTAATGCAGTTCATCTTTTGATTTCCTGGCTGCTGGTGCCAAAAGTGTTGATTGTGGAACCAAGCAAGCTGAAATTGTTAATAATCTCAATCTCTTCTCCATTTATTCCTATGCTGCCAATTGATCCAGTGGTGAGAATCTTTGTTTTCTTGATGCTGAGCGTCCATCCATATTTCAAACTACAGTCCTTGACCCTCTGCAGCTAGTTCTTCAGGTCCTCCTCAGTTTTGGCAAGTAAGGTTGTGTCATTTGCATAAGGCAGTTTGTTGACAGGTCTTCCTCCAATCTGATGCCACATTCCTCCTTGCTTAAAGTAAACCCACTGCCATCCTGCTCGTCTGATTCATAGTGACCCTCCATTGGGTTGCAGAGGCCGTGAATCTTTAAGGGAAACACTGCCCACCTTTTGGTTAGCAACTTAATACATTATATCCTGCGCAACCTCTCACATATGTATCTTTTGTCCAGATTTTTCCTCATGCTGCAAATCTCTTTCTTTCTCTCTTCTGTAAATGTCCTTCTTGATGTCTTGTGCCACGTGACAAAAATATACAAAAGAATCACCCTCATCCCAGAACAGCACAACACAGTGAACACAGCCTAGCTATAGCGGTTGCTTCTTCATAATGTCTTACCTCAAGTGATGACTGGCCTTAGGTCATTTAGGGTAGATTCCGAGTTGTTCTCCACTTCCTGTCCTCCACCACAGCCGTGTCTGAATGAGCGTTGGACCTCCCAGCTTAGCTCTTTCTGTCCTGCTCCCTTGTCTCGGTTCTCTTGCCCCTACTGTGGCATAAGACTTCATCACCTTCCCTTTCACAGTGCAGTCTGGAAGAGCTCAGTCTCAGATGTCCAGATGACATGTGTTCTCCTTTTTCTCTGCCACTTACTAGTTACTTGACCTCTATCAAGTTTTATGACCTCTTTGCACCTCAGTTGCCTCATTGGTAAAAATATGACAACAAATTTGTTGTGAAGATTAAATGATTTCGTAGCTGTAAAGTACTTAGAGAAGTTCCAGACACCCGAGAAATGTTTGCTATTTTACCGGCTATTACAGTAGCTTATTCAGCTGACCTCTGCAATTCTGCCTCTTTGCTATTAACGTGTTTTTCACTCTGCCACATTAGCTAGCTTTCAGAAAATGTACTTCTCACCAAACTATTCCCTTTTTGAAAACATCATGTGGCTTCCCAAGTCAGATCACTACTTATAAAGCCAGTTTATCCCTGTTCTGTTACAACTATAGTAAATAATTTGCAGCCCCTCAAGTATGCTATGATCAAGGAATTCAGTTTGTTAAATATACAGAGCATCTTTGCAATATGCTATTTCTCCTGTAGTAAGAGTCCTTCTTTCCTGGTTTCATCTGCAAGCTTTAATAAATCTTCAAGACCAAGTGTGAGCCTCTTGTGAGAGCCCAGCCATGTCCAGATGGTGTTGATTACTCCTTACCATGCCCCTTAACACTCCTTATGACACATTGCAGTTGCTTGTTTCTGTACTTGTCCTATTGATAAGACTTAGAGCTCCATAATGGTGGAACAGTAGCTTTTTCTCTTTCCTCTTGTACAGCAGGGCCTTGAACAGGGTAATACAGAGTGTGTCAATGCCTCATCAAAAAATTAAAAACCAAACCCATTACTGTTGAGTCCATTCCTGCTTGACTTACTGTTAACATGTCCTATAGGACAGACTACAGCTGCCTCTTAGAGTTCCCGATGCTGTAATGCTTGAAGAAGCCACATACCACATCTTTCCCCCACAGGGTAGCTGATGGCCTCAAGCCACTGATGTTTTGGTTTGTAGCCAAGCTTTTAAAAGTTGCCCCTCCAGAGCTTCTTTGATGTTTCATATTGATAAGTTAGTTACAGGGTTCAAGAGTGTACTAAGATTTCTGTACCTTTTTCTTTCATTCCTTCAGGCTTCAGGAATTAGCTGATCGAGTGTTGGAACGTTTCCAGTCATCAGGACTAATAGTGAAAGAGTGGAATAGTGTGAAACTCCATGCCACAGTCATGAATACGCTTTTCAGGAAAGACCCAAATGGTAAGTCCTCCTAGATCTATAGTGCAGCTTGTGATCAGCAAGGCCTTACAGTGACCCTGGGATTTCAATAGAACAGGCTTCCAAGAAACTTGGCTGTGGTTTCTGTTGTAGATGTTTGCTTGCTTTGATGAGGACAGTGGAAGTGGGCAGGAACATACTCAGCATGGCAGCGTGGCATTCCAAATCCTTTATTCTTGTCACACATAGAGTTGCAGATTTAGCAAATAAAAGTACAGAATGCACAGCTCCATTTCAATTTCCGGTAAAGTGACAAAATCTTTAATGTAAGGATGGCCCATGCGAGGCCGGTGCCTTTCCTTTTCCCTCTCAGCCATTTTCACAAGAGCAATCTGATGACATTATGTAGTTTCACCATGTTTTGCAGCCGTTACTACTATCCATGTCCATTTTTTTTCACCATCCTTAATAGAAGCTCCATTCACCTTAATCTATTACCATTTCCACTTCCTATCCATCCTATTTGTACCTTTTTTAAAAAGAGGAAAGATGAAAGGAAAATTAGCTGGTAAATGTTAGAACCATCCTTTTCCACCTGGATCATTTTGCCTTCTGTCTAATGTTGTTACAGTTAGAAATTACATCGTTATACACTGTATGCCATTAGTGCACTTATACATTTGTGACATTTTGGCTGTCACAGTTGAGACAGGGAAGGTTCTACTGCCTGGGATCTGGGATCTGTTGGCCATAGGGTGCTACAGACATTCTGCTGGTGCACATACAACAGGCACATGCAACAAAGAGTTATTCAGGCCCCAATGCCAGGAGTACCACAGCTGAGAAACCCTGTGCTAGGATGATAATTTCCCACCATCTGCTTTGGAATATTGGCCTTCCTGTAACAATGCCTTGTTTTGACTCTTGGTTTTGGGTATTATTCTATATTTTCAAGGTAGTTTCTCTTCTTTACCTGTCCCCAAGCCCCAGTGACGTCGTCTCTAAAACGTTGAGCAACTGATCAGAAACTACACATTTAAACTTTATGTGGGTTTTCCTTCTTTGGTTTAAAATAAACAAGCACTTTACTCCCATATACAGATTTTCTTCCTCCTTTAGGTCTCTGATCTTGTTTTTAGAAAATCCAGGCTGGGAGAAGGGAATTCTGGTGGCATAGTCTGGGGTGAGTTTTATTGTTAACCCATTTCCAGCGACTAGGATCCACCAGCAGCTGCATGAGAGAAAGATGGGCAGCCTCTCCCTGCTGTGATGTGCAGCCTTGGAGACCTGGTGGAAGGTCACTGTTAGAACGAATCCAGTGAGGGACCGAAGAGGACTCTGTCAGGGCTTGAACTCAGGCTCTTTTGCTTTTCAGCTAAAGCACAACATTTTATTTCTCTCGGAAATACTAAAGATCCTGACCAGAACTCATTTAACCTTGTTAACTCATTTAGAATCTTGTCAGACCAAGAGACAAATGTAGCTACCAAATGATCAAGCTTAAAGTATTAATGTTTTGTGATACCATTTTATTTAAAACTTTTCTAAATGGGCTCTATGAGGAGAAGCGTGGCGTTAGGCTTGGTTGACGATCTATCAATAGTCTGTGTTATGCAGATGACACAACCCTGCTCACTGAAACTGAGGAGGACCTCATGCACTTACTGCAGAGGGTCAAGGACTGCAGCCTTCAATATGAACTGAGGCTCAATGTCAAGAAGACAAAAATTCTCACCACTGGACCAATCGGTAGCATCAGGATGGATGGCGAAGAGATTGAGATTGTTCACAGCTTCAGTTTGCTCGGCTCCACGGTCAACACTCTTGGCACCAGTAGCCAGGAAATAAAAAAAACGTATTGCGATGGGAAAGTCTGCGGTTAGGGACCTCTCTAAAGTACTCAAGAGCAATGGTGTCTCTCTGGAGACTAAGGTGTACCTGATACAGGCCATGGTCTTTGCAATCACATGTTATGCATCAGAGAGTTGGACAATGACTCGGGAGGATAGAAGGAGAAGTGATGCCTTTGAGCTGTGGTGCTGGAGAAGAGTATTGAATGTACCATGGACTGCCAAGGAAACAAACAGATTCATCGTAGAGAGGGTTAAACCAGGCTGCTCCTTGGAGGCAAGGATTCTGGGGCTTCGTCTGACATACTTTGGACATGTTGTAAGGAGAGACAGGTCCTTGGAGAGGGACATCATTCTTGGTAGAGTAGAGGGACAGCGCAGGAGGGGAAGACCCTCTATGATGTGGATTGATTCAGTGACTGGGGTAATCGGGATGGGTGTGTCAGAGGCAATGAGATTGGCACAGGATAGAGCACGGTTTAGGGTTGTTGTACATAGGGTCGCTATGAGTCGCAAACGACTCGACGGCACATAACAACAACAGTAACATCAGTTTTACTCTTGGGAGCACTGAAATAAAAAGCCATTGAAATCACTCAGTCAAGGCCAGTGAAGACTCTTGTTTGTGTCATCACTAGACTTCAGGCTCGGGATTTGTCCTCGTTTAGATCAAGCACATTTCTTTTACATGATTGTTTCTTGGGTGCTGTCCAGTCACATTTGACTCATAGCGATCCAGTGAACAACAGATCTGACTATATAAAAATATATTAAATATTTTTCTGTATTATAATTTTACCTGTGGCATGAAAATATTTAAAGGGCTTTAGAGTATTTACTTTGGTTTTGGGCATTAGTTTTAACTTTAGAAAACACAGTGAGATACCCTGAGATGATGCATTAAAGACAGAGTAAAAGATCTGTGTAATGTACTCTAAATGAAGTGGTTCACATGTGTGTGGTGACTAACATCATCCACTGGAGTTCTGAGATGGTGGCCATAGTCCTGTGACTGTGCTGTTTCATGTGGGAGCCACTATTTACATGTGGAACTGAGCATTTGACATGTGGTGTGGAAGAGACAGTTTAATTTTTAATTTTATTTAATTAAAATAATAATATATGGCTAATGGCTAATACATAATTTCCTTATCAAATATGCTAAATAATGAATAATTATCATTATTTTAGTTTGCTTTTATCCTAGTCCTTAATTCTTAGTTCAACCTCTTACTCTTATCCCCTGCACCATTATTAACTAAATCTTGATGTAGAATGAATTATTTAGGAATCCATATCTTCAAAATTGTTTGGAACTAGATTCATATTCATTTAGTATATCATATAATATTTCATGTTTGGAACCTGGTTATCCCTTCTTATGTAAGGATTTTTCTTTTAAATAAAATTTTGTTTTATACTGGCTTATTAACAAAGTTCATATACATTGTTTTTCATGTCAGATCTTTCCATTTCTTTTACCCACCCCTCCCTCTACTCATCAAACATGGATATTTTTAACAAAATGGCTTTATTAAGCTGTAATTTAAACACAAGATTAAGTACCTTCTTACTTTTTAAAGTATATCATTCCATGTTTTCAGTATATTCAGAGTTGTGCAGCTATTAAAAAAATCTATTTTAGAACATTTTCATCACTTCACAAAGAGCGAGTGCCCATTAGCAGCCCTCCCATTTCTTCCCAGCTTCCCCCAGCTCTGTTCGACTGCTGGTCTACTTACAGTCAATATTCTGAACATTCATATAAATGGAATCATATAAAATATGGCGTTTTTTTGCTTTTATCACGTAGGACATTTCTCAAGATTGATCCATGTTTATCATATAAGTACATCCATTCTTTTTTACTGTTAAGTAATATTCCATGGCATAGGAGTGATGTCACAGAAGATGATGTAATAGAAAACTCCCACATCAGAATGACTATAAGGCCTGGCAAGAGCTGGAAGAATCAAAGTCAGCTCCCCTAGAAACTAGTCCACCTGAACACTTGCAACATCTAGAGGAGCCTCTTTATGAAAATAAAGGTTGACTTTGGACATTTCACATTAGCAACTACAGTCTCTGAGCTGCTGAGACAGCAGCCAGTGGAGACAGCAGACTGCACATTAAAAGTTACAGGGTACAAGGAGATATGGTGGCCTAGCTGTGAGAATCTGAACTGTAGTCCTGAAGACAGTGGTTTGAATCACAGGTTTGCTCCACAGGAGAAGGCTGGACAATCTCCCCATGTGATTAACGCTGCTGAAAACCTGCTGGAGGGTCAGCAATGTGTCAGTTCCGACTTGATGGCACACAACAATTCAGGGAATTCTGGTGGCCTAGTGGCAAGAAGCTGCACTGTGATCCCAAAGGCATGCAGGTTTTTTTGAGGCTACCAGCTGCTCTGCAGGAGGGTGGGCAGTCTCCTCCCATCCCATTAACTTCCTCTGAAAACCTGCCAGATGGTCAGCTGTGGGTTGATTCCGACTCTACAGTATACAACAACAATAACAATGGATAGTTAGATTGGGTTGCTTACTCTGCTTCTGAACAGCACTTTCAAAAGTTATAGGGTGCAAGAGAAACATTGCCAAGAGGAAAATTTAAAGCTGTAAATAATGGCATTTAAAAAGGAAGATCTCAAATCAAACCACATAATCTTAGACTTTAAGAAACTAGAAAAAGAAAAGCAAACTAAACTGAAAGCTAACAGAAGACAAAAGATAATCAAGATTAGAATGAGATAAATGAACCAGAGAAAAGAAAAATAATAGGATAAATGCAACTGAAGAGTTTTTTTAAAAAACAAATATTACACACCTTTGGTGCAGCAATTAATGAATAATTTTAATTGATATTTTAATGAAAGATTATAGAGAACTTGGATTTCCATTCATTGTTGTGTATTTTGCTCCCTGCCCACCCCTCCCCCAATTCGCTTTTCTCTTTAAAAAGAAAAAATCTTTGTTATATAAACTCCCACTCCCCAGTCCACTTTACTATGCAGCTCTTACTCTGAACTTTTTTTAATTAATTTTATTAATTTTAATGACTTAGGGTTTCCAGTCATTCATTGTTGTACTTTTCTCCCTGCCTACCTCCTGCCCCTCAATTCACTCTTCTCCTTGAAAAGTAAAAGAAAAACTCTTTCATTGTTATGCAATCTCTCCCCCCAAGTCCACTCCACTG